CTCTTTTTCTTTTTCATATTCATTAGAGACGCTCACTATACAAGCACCAGTTGACTCATTTTGAAGATCGAAGTGTATTTGGAAGATCATCTTTTCCCTCAAAATTACCAATGACAGCAGGAAATATCCAAAACATATCCGAAATATTCTCTCAAAATTCCAATTAATAGAATTTTTATTGGTTAGAATTAGGGGAGAGTGGGCCAAAATAAAACAGTCAAAAAACAACTGATGGAATTCAAGCAAAAAAATGTTTTCTTTAATATTTCTTTATCTTTTTTTTTTATTCGTTAGAGTACTGATGAGGAAAATAATTTTCCATTCAGTAGAATGGACAATGATAACATACATTAAAGATATTACGATAATATTCTACTATATTATATTCTATACTATGCTATATTATAATACATTAGGCACATATAATGGTATATGTAATGTAACACAATATCGTATACTCAATGTATGTTATTATTATTATCATTATATTTTATAATACATATAATACTCTATTATATATTGTATATTATACATAGTTTATATAATATAGTATAATATAGAATATAATATAATATAGTATTATCGCACTATCTTTAATGTATGCTATCATCATTTATAAAAAATCTCATGATACAATACGCCGAATAGATTGGCTTCAAAAAACGTAACACTGGATGTATTTATATTTAAAAAATGCAATACATTGCTGAAACTTGCTCTTCGGAAAACTTGATATTAACTTCAGAAATCTAATATAACACTATTCACTACAATTGACATACATTGAGCCCCATGGAGTAGAACATACGCGCGCAGAGCGCGCAGACTCACCTAGTTAATTGAACAAGAAATAAAACAGCAAAATCCAAGGTCCAGAGGAAGACCCAGGGGCAGACCCAGAGGGGGAAAAAGGAAAATATGATGCTAAATTTCAAACGAATAATCCATTGACAAAATCTTCGCNTTGCTCTTCGGAAAACTTGATATTAACTTCAGAAATCTAATATAACACTATTCACTACAATTGACATACATTGAGCCCCATGGAGTAGAACATACGCGCGCAGAGCGCGCAGACTCACCTAGTTAATTGAACAAGAAATAAAACAGCAAAATCCAAGGTCCAGAGGAAGACCCAGGGGCAGACCCAGAGGGGGAAAAAGGAAAATATGATGCTAAATTTCAAACGAATAATCCATTGACAAAATCTTCGCGGTGTACTATCTTTCGAACGTTATCTCGATGTTTTTTTTTCATCTTTCGTCATCTGAAATTGTCAATTCAGTCCAGCATCATGCAGAAGTTTTGAAAAATTATGAATGAATAATAAAAAAAAGTAGAAGAAATTGTTAATTTTTTCAAAGAGCATTTTTAATTTATATTCAGAATAAATTGAATAACAAGAAATTGAAAAATGTATCTGATTTACGGTGACAAATGGTGGCCTGTCACCCAATATCATGCAGGGGAAAGACTGATTCCGTAAATCTTTTCCCACACTGCACAGAGACATTTATTACGGAAAAGGCTCTTTGAAAAAAGTTGTAATATTTTGTATAATTTTTTAATCACACTTTTATCACATAAAAATGGCAGATGACTACATATCACTGTTTTAAAAATTGAGATACCTAGCTGTCACCTCCCATGAGGAGTTAATGTTTTGTTATCCACGATGGAAAATGACAGCTAATAGATAACTTGCCATAGTGAATCAGATATTTGTAATTACCACTTTTTTCAACTCATTCTGGATTTCACTTAAAAACGCTCTTTGAAAAAGTTCAGAATTTTTTTTTTTTGTTTTATCATTCTATCATAATTTTTGGGAATTTCTACATGATATGTACCACTCAATTGACAATTTTAGATTACAAAAGTTAAAAAAAATCCAGATAACATTTGAAAGATAGTACCCCCGAGCCTTCAATTGTGTCAAACAATCGTTTTTTGACTGTTTCATTTTGCCCTACTCTCCCCTACGAGAAAAAAAAATTAATAATATTTAACCACATCAACGATTGCCAATAAGCCTTTTTATTAAAGAATGTTTGCAAAATATTGACTTTATACCCTGAACTACAAACACTTTAGAAAACTCTAGGGGGTTTTGAATAAAAAGGCCTATTAATTTGTTGATTTATTCAATTATTTTCCGTTATGTGAGATTCAACTGGTCTTAATAAATTCCCGTCACGTAGAGTTTGGCATCTATTGCTATAGAAAATTTGAAAAACAATTTTTTTAACTCATTCCATTTCCATTGTCCAATTAAATTCTCTCCGTTATTTAATTCCTTAATTTGATACTTACGTCCATTTGCAGGGAATCTCCCTCTTGAATGTATTATTCCTAGATTCTGTACAAATTAATCCATCAGCTGCTAAACACACAACTAGAAAAATTAAAATGTAGGTTAAAAACTGGGATAACTCCAAAAATTATTGATGTATATTATTTACCTTTAGCTTTATTATCCTTGGTGCAACCTCTCGGCTGCTGCGTTTTTGGGTCAATTAAGTCATATTCAGGATGTGGACAGATATACTGCCCCATTCGCAGGTTATTGCAGTCAATTTCATACGTGTAATCAGTACAATCACCAATTTGTATAATTAATATCGAAAAGAAACTCACATACTTGAGAACTGAATACATTGTTGTTTTAACATTTTATGAATGACTAGTAATCATGTTTCAATTGTTCATGCACCGAGAATTTACGAAGAAATCAACGGACGAGATAAAAGTGCATTCACACATTTTTTATGATGGGATGTCGCTCTTGGTCAGTCGTCTGGTCGTCTTGGCTCGTCTGGTGTTGTTTGTTGACTCCTAACCTCCGAAAATAGGCAATTGTCGCTGGTTTTGTAGAGCGCTGGCCGAACGCATGTTGGAATTATTGTTTCAACAGTTAGCGACGATTAAAAAAATAATTAGGACAATTTTTAGGAAAAGATGAGGATTGCTGTGGAAGGTTGTGCCCATGGAGAGCTGGAGATTATTTATAATGCTTTGGAGGAAGTTGAAAAGAATGATGGCAAAAAGATTGATTTGTTAATTTGTTGTGGTGATTTCCAATCAACAAGAAATCTTGATGATCTCAATTCGATGGCGGTTCCTGATAAGTTCAAAGATATGTGTACATTTTACAAGTGAGTATAATTTTTATTAGTCATCATAATTTGAAAATTTAACCCCGAGTAGACGTGATTTTTAACACAAAATATTTTTAGTAGATTTCATTCATAGGAGAAACTTTGTTTTCCAATCCTTGTTTTGAAGGTTGAATGAAAATAGAAAATAAGAGGAACAAAACAGTCGAGGTTTATGTGACCAATAAATTGTGAACAAAAAGATTATACACAGAAGATTTTTAATTGAGTTTAACTCACGGGTTAAACTCTAAACGTCCCAATTAGGATAGCTATATTTAACATTTGAATTTCATGATGATTGCTGAAAATTTGGAATTTTTCGTGAATTTTCCTGAAAGTGAGCTTTGATGGTTTCTTCAAATGTGATGCTTCAAAGTCATTCAAGTATGGGTAAATAAAATTTTTCTGTTAACATTTTGTCGAAGGACTGAGGGGAGTGATTGAACTGTAAAAAACAATCGGTTGTATATAAGAAAAAGGATAATAAGAATAATGATGCTGATAACATTCAACTAATTTGAAAGTCTAACAAAATTATGTAAAAGGAAATTATGTGCAAAAATCACTATATTAGATACAATACAAGCAATTTCCCACTTCTTTGAGATACGAAATCTAATGCGCGCATATCAACACGATAGATTGACCAAACGATTCATCATTCTCATTGCCAATATTGGCGATCGCAACGTAGATGTGAGAGCCCCCCAGTGGTCCTGAACTAACTACTCTTGGGGGCCAACCAATGAGATCCCTAGCAGTGAACCAATGATGGGGGTCAACCAATGAGGTCATGGAGAACCCAGTGATCTCATTGGTTGGCCCCCAAGAGTAGTTAGTTTAGAGACCACCTGGTGGCTCCCACATCTACGTTGCGATCGCCAATAA